GCCCACTCATACACACACACTGCCCACTCATACACACACACTGCCCACTCATACACACACACTGCCCACTCATACACACACACTGCCCACCTATATACATACACTGCCCACCTATATACATACACTGCCCACCCATATACATACACTGCCCACCCATATATATATATATACACATATGCACACACACACTGCCCACCCATATATACACATACACTGCATACACTGCCCACCCATATATATACACACACACACTGCCCACCCATATATTCACACACTGCCCACCCATATATTCACATACTGCCCACCCATATATTCACATACTGCCCACCCATATATTCACATACTGCATACACTGCCCACACATATATACACACACACACACACACATTGCCCCACACATACATACACTGCCCCCCATACACACACTGCCCCCACACTTACACTGCCCCCACACACACCATGCACATACATACATTGCCCCCACACACTGCCCTCCCCATACACACATTGCCCCGACACACATACACTGCCCTGACACCATACACATTCATACACTGCCCCCCATACACATACACAGCCCCACATACACACACACATTGCCCCACACACCCTACACATTCACTCACTACACCCCCCCCCACACACACACTGAACCTTTCACACACACTGCACCACTCACACACACCACTGCTCCTATGCCCTACTACAGCCTCATATCATAGCAGACCCCAGGTAAGTTGTCAAACTGTTCTCAAACTGTTTGACTACTTACTTTAAAATTATTTTTAACATTTACTTAGTCCTTAAAGGACCACTATAGGCACCCAGACCACTTCAGCTCAATGAAGTGGTCTGGGTGCCAGGTCCCTCTAGTTTTAACCCTGCAGCTGAAAACAAAGCAGTTTCAGAGAAACTGCTATGTTTCACTAAGGGTTAATCCAGCTTCTGTTGCTGTCTCACTGACAGCTGCTAGAGGTGCTTCCGCGATTCATACTGTGAATGCGTGTGCTGAATTCGAGAATGCGAGAATTCCCCAGAGCCGAGGGAGCCCGGCGCAGGAGAAAGGTAAGTGGTTGAAGGGGTTTTAACCCCTTCAGCCCAGCGGGAGGGGGGAACTATAGTGCTCCTTTAATATTTTGTCTTGAAGGGCCCTGGATCTAATTTTGTCCGGGGGCCCAGGAGGCTGTCAGTCCATCCCTGGCCTCGTCCAGTCTCATTCAGAGTCCCTTTCTGAACCCTTTTGTTCCCTCTATATTGCCTCTCTTGGCAAACTCATTAATTCATTTGGATTCCACTAACACCTGTACACTGACGACACCAGCCTACACACACCCTCTTTCCCTGCTGTGACATGACATGTCAACAATTGCTTCTCTTCTATTTCTGATTGGATGTCCTGCTTTTTGAAACTCAATCTATCTAAAAGTGAGCTTATTTTCCCTCATCATTACACTGATCCTCCTTCACTCTCCCTGCAGGTTGACCTTACCTGCCTCACCCCATCCTTTCAAGCTCACTTTCTTGGTGTAGTATTTGATCCTGGCCTTTGCGCCTCATGTCCAGTCTTGCTAAAACTGGTCAATTCCAGATTAAAAGCCATTGCACATATACGCCCCTTTCCGATGCAAGATGCTACCAAGGAGCTTGTTCATGGATTACTGTAATTTTCTCCTATCTGGTCTCCACAGAAGCCATACTGCCCCCCACAATCTGATGAATGCTGCTCCCAGGATGATCTCTCCGCACCCCTCGGTTGATCCTTAGACTGGCTTCTTGTATTTTATTTACACTCAGACTAACCTACAGGTGTCAATTTAGGATACTAACCCTTACCTATAAAGGTCTAACCAACTCAAGCCCCTCTTACATTTCTCCACTCATTCATAGGCATGCCCCCTCTTGGTCTCTGCCCTACTGGTGACCTTCCGTCTGCCGCTTGCACCCTTCCTGCAAATTCATGCCTATTCCTTTGGAACAGCCCGCCTTCCCCTGTCAGACTCTCCCCTAGTCTTCAATCCTTTAAAAGTCCCTCAAAACCCTTATTTTAAAGATGGCTTACGGCATCCAAGAGTAACTTCTATCTCTCAATCCTTTCTCCTAAAAAAGGTCACACCCCACTCTCACATTCAGGTCTGCTTTCCCACCATGTCCATTTGCTGTCTCCCTCAATACCCTTCCTATTGCGTTTTTATACCCCACCTCCTCTAGATTGTAAGCTTGTTTGAGCAGGGTCCTCAACTACCTATTGTTACCTTTACATTTTGTCATCTCATTTGGTAAATTACCTTTTATTGTAAAGCGCTGCGGAATAATCTGGCGCTATATAAATACCAATAATAATCAGTGCTGTAAAATATGCAGAGACACCAGAAGGTGACAAACAACCCCAGGGGTGACTACCTCTTGGTGTGCAGTCTTCACAACATTAGATAAGCCCCTCTTTCCTTAGCTCCTAAAGGCCTAAAATGTTTAGAGGAATTATTTTCATTTGAATAGACTAATGGAAGAGAATTAGTACCAAGAAAAAAAAAAAAAGAAAATCATACCTTTCCCTTCTTGAACTTCCATAGTCATTAACCCACTGAACCACTTGTAACACGGGAATCGAGTGCTCTCCCCACTGGGACTGGTCACATTCACATACTTGCAATACCAGGGATTATCAATAACACCGTGCTTCTTGTACAGTCGTACAAATAATATGTGACCCAGGTCTGCTGGTGTGTTAATGTCATGTTGTTGCACCTGATCAGAAATAAACATTTCTTTTTAAAAGCAGCAAACTCTTAAATATACAAAATAAAAACATAGATGGGCATGCAAGTTTATTCAAGAAATCATTGGACTGGCTGAGACAGTAAATTTTGATCTGAGCCAGGGCAGACCCACACAGCTCAGGTATAAAGGTGAGCGTTAGCAAGAGTAAGGGTGACCAGCCACCTAAAGTGTGTTTTTAATGCCAGCATCAAACATTTGCATTCATGAAAAAAAATAAAAAAAAAATAAATAAAAAAACACCCCCAACTCCTACACTAGACATGTAGTCCCCTATTGGCATTTGCTTAAGTAACCCCATAACCCCCAAAAATACTCAGACACCTTGTATTGGGAGAAAATATCACAGCTTTGATATAGAAACATAACAAGTAAAATTATAAGGTAAGGGTCAACACAATACACTACTGACCCCTATACCTTTAACATAACTATGACCCACATGGCAGTTATTGATACAAACTATAACAAACCATTACCACCAAGGGCATGATTTTCCAGCTTCCACAGTGTAGGGGTATACCAAGACACCCCCTACACACACCAGGTTCGGAGCTACCAACAGGCTTGAACCTACCAATACCAGTCCAAACCCAACTGTTCTTAGCAAACTAAAACTAACATACCTATGCCCAACCCACAACTTTTCTATCCATCTCCCTGCTGCCATGACCAAGCAGTAGCTAGCCTCTGAGAAAAGGGAGGGATGGACTGACAACAGGTAAATGGTGATTAAGCCAGAGGGCCCCAATAGCCAATCCACACATACCCTTATTCTATGCCAGTCTCCAAGCAATGTCAAGGCCCATTCCCCTTAGCTGCACTGCTCCACTGGACAAAACTGACATTAGTAACAGGTAAAGTGATGCTTAGAGTGTCCCTTAAAAAGGAATGGTTTATGAAAAAAAAGCCATTATACTGTAGACTGATGTAGGTACATACACATTCACAGTATTTAAACTACTTAACACATTTTTGAGAGTGCTGATATTTTCCCTTCCCTTATACCTCATGTAACTATTTTAATTCATGAGAACACATGAGACTGCAGCACAGACCACACTTAGACAGATTTTAAGAGGGGTGAGGGGGGTTGTTCTATTTAATAGCCACAAGACAATACTCACAGATCCAGCAGGAAATATTACTCCCAGAAGATGTTTAGGACTTTCTCCATTAACTCCTACAAGAGCTATAGATATGGCATCACAGCTGGCCGAGCCAATGTGGCTCCCAGTGGCTACCTGTACTAAATAAGTTACCATGACTACAGGTAGCAGCACTATCCGTAACACAATCAGACCTACAATCCGTTCTTTAATTTATCCAAGAATAACTCACAGCGAAGGGTTCTCCCTTTTATACATGGAATACCTGCACCGACCCCTCCCTTCAGAATTAACAAGGATCAGGTATGTTCTCAGGGTTAGGCTATGAAGATTCAAGGAAGGCAAGTTATTTAATTAACCCCTTAAGGACACAACTTTAGAAGTAAACGGCCAGCATGACGGAAAATGTCCATCAGTTGCAAGAAATTAAACTGTAAAATTGTAAAACTGAGGCTTAAGCACCCAGGCTGAGATTATTGGGGTTTAGATACCAAAGTGTTAATTCCAAATTTGAAACCACAATAGCTAAACTGGAAAAATTCTCCAAGTTAGCAACATTTTGGCTTTTCTAGCAAAATTCATAATTTGACTTTACACTGTTAGAATTGTCAGAATTGTCAAAGTGAATTTAAAGAGACACTACAGGCACCCAGACCACGATTCCCAACATTTCAAATGGACAAAGAGGGGCCCGTTAATTTTTGGGGTGTGATCGGGGGCGTGAAGGTTTGGATAAATTTTAAGTAACTAACCAATAACTATTTATACAGGTAAAATGTAATTTAAACCAAGAACAATGTATCATATTTCCACAGACTGATTTATAAACATTTATTGTAGTTTAAAGACACATTACTGGGAGTATTATTATTGCGGAGCTCTGTGATACACACAGACACATTACTGGGAGTATTATTGCTGTGGGGCTCTGTGATTCACTCAGACACATTACTGTGAGTATTATTGCTGTGGAGCTCTGTTATACACTCAGACACATTACTGGGAGTATTATTGCTGTGGCGATCTGTTATACACTCAGACACATTACAGGGAGTATTATTGCTGTGGAGCTCTGTTATACACTCCAACACATTACTGGGAGTATTATTGCTGTATCGATCTGTTATACACTCATACACATTACTGGGAGTATTATTGCAGTGGAGCTCTGTTATACACTCAGACACATTACTGGGAGTATTATTGCTGTGGCGATCTGTTATACACTCAGACACATTACTGGGAGTATTATTGCTGTGGAGCTCTGTAATACACTCCAACACATTACTGGGAGTATTATTGCTGTGGCGATCTGTTATACACTCCAACACATTACTGGGAGTATTATTACTGTGGAGCTCTGTTATACACTCAGACACATTACTGGGAGTAGTATTGCTGTGGGCCTCTGTAATAGACTCAGACACATTACTGGGAGTATTATTGCTGTGGGGCTCTGTAATACACTCAGACACATTACTTGGAGTATTATTGATGTGAAGCTCTGTTATACACTCAGACACATTACTGAGAGTGTTATTGCTGCAGAGCTCTGTGATACACACAGACACATTACTGGGAGTATTATTACTGTGCGCTCTGTTATACACTCAGACAAATTACTGGGAGTATTATTGCTGTGGAGCTCTGTTATACACTCAGACACATTACTGGGTGTATTATCACTGTGGAGCTCTGTTATACACTCAGATACATTACTGGGCGTATTATTGCTGTGAAGCTCTGTTATACACTCAGACACATTACTGGGAGTATTATTGCTGTGGGGCTCTGTTATACAGTCAGACACATTACTGGGAGTATTATTACTGTGGAGCTCTGTTATATACTCAGACACATTACTGGGAGTATTATTGCTGTGGGGCTCTGTTATACACTCAGACACATTACTGGGAGTATTATTGCTGTAGCGCTCTGTTATACACACAGACACATAATTTGGAGTATTATTGCTGTGGGACTCTGTGATACACTCAGACACATTACTGGGAGTATTATTGCTGTGGGGCTCTGTTACACACTCAGACACATTACTGTGAGTATTATTGCTGTGGAGCTCTGTTATACACTCAGACACATTACTGTGAGTATTATTGCTGTGGATCTCTGTTATACACTCAGATACATTACTGGGAGTATTATTGCTGTGGGGCTTTGTAATACACTCAGACACATTACTGGGAGTATTATTGATGTGAAGCTCTGTTATACAGTCAGACACATATTGGGAGTATTATTACTGTGGAGCTCTGTTATAGACTCAGATACATTACTGGGAGTATTATTGCTGTGGGGCTTTGTAATTCACGCAGACACATTACTTTGAGTATTATTGCTGTGGAGCTCTGTTATACACTTCAACACATTACTGTGAGTATTATTGCTGTGGAGCTCTGTTATACACTCAGACACATTACTGTGAATATTATTGCTGTGGGGCTCTGTTTTACACTCAGACACATTACTGGAAGTATTATTGCTGTGGGCCTCTGTAATACACTCAGACACATTACTGGAAGTATTATTGCTGTGGGCCTCTGTAATAAACTCAGACACATTACTGGGGCTCTGTAATACACTCAGACACATTACTGGGAGTATTATTGCTGTGCGCTCTGTTATACACTCAGACAAATTACTGGGAGTATTATTGCTGTGGAGCTCTGTTATACACTCAGACACATTACTGGGAGTATTATCACTGTGGAGCTCTGTTATACACTCAGACACATTACTGGGAGTATTATTGCTGTGGAGCTCTGTTATACACTCAGACACATTACTGGGAGTATTATTGCTGTATAGCTCTGTTATACACTCAGACACATTACTGGGAGTATTATTGCTGTGGAGCTCTGTTATATACTCAGACACATTACTGGGAGTATTATTGCTGTGGGGCTCTGTTATACACTCAGACACATTACTGGGAGTATTATTGCTGTAGCGCTCTGTTATACACACAGACACATAATTTGGAGTATTATTGCTGTGGGACTCTGTGATACACTCAGACACATTACTGGGAGTATTATTGCTGTGGGGCTCTGTTACACACTCAGACACATTACTGTGAGTATTATTGCTGTGGAGCTCTGTTATACACTCAGATACATTACTGGGAGTATTATTGCTGTGGGGCTTTGTAATACACTCAGACACATTACTGGGAGTATTATTGATGTGAAGCTCTGTTATACAGTCAGACACATATTGGGAGTATTATTACTGTGGAGTTATGTTATAGACTCAGATACATTACTGGGAGTATTATTGCTGTGGGGCTTTGTAATTCACGCAGACACATTACTTTGAGTATTATTGCTGTGGAGCTCTGTTATACACTTCAACACATTACTGTGAGTATTATTGCTGTGGAGCTCTGTTATACACTCAGACACATTACTGTGAATATTATTGCTGTGGGGCTCTGTTTTACACTCAGACACATTACTGGAAGTATTATTGCTGTGGGCCTCTGTAATACACTCAGACACATTACTGGAAGTATTATTGCTGTGGGCCTCTGTAATAAACTCAGGCACATTACTGGGGCTCTGTAATACACTCAGACACATTACTGGGAGTATTATTGCTGTGGGGCCCTGTTACACACTCAGACACATTACTGGGAGTATTATTGCTGTGGAGCTCTGTTATTCACTCAGACACATTACTGTGAGTATTATTGCTGTGGAGCTCTGTTATACACTCAGACACATTACTGTGAATATTATTGCTGTGGGGCTCAGTTTTACACTCAGACACATTACTGGGAGTATTATTGCTGTGGGGCTCTGTAATACACTCAGACACATTACTGGGAGTATTATTGCTGTTGGGCTCTGTTACACACTCAGACACATTACTGGGAGTATTATTGTTGTGGAGCTCTGTTATTCACTCAGACACATTACTGTGAGTATTATTGCTGTGGAGCTCTGTTATACACTTCAACACATTACTGTGAGTATTATTGCTGTGGAGCTCTGTTATACACTCAGATACATTACTGGGAGTATTATTGCTGTGGAGCTCTGTTATACACTCCAACACATTACTGGGAGTATTATTACTGTGGAGCTCTGTAATACACTCAGACACATTACTGAAAGTATTATTGCTGTGGGGCTCTGTTACACACTCAGACACATTACTGGGAGTATTATTGCTGTGGAGCTCTGTTATTCACTCAGACACATTACTGGGAGTATTATTCTGTATCGCTCTGTTATACACACAGACACATTGCTTGGAGTATTATTGCTGTGGGACTCTGTGATACACTCAGACACATTACTGGGAGTATTATTGCTGTGGGGCTCTGTTACACACTCAGACACATTACTGGGAGTATTATTACTGTAGAGTTCTGTAATACACTCAGATACATTACTGGGAGTATTATTGCTGTGGGGCTTTGTAATACACTCAGACACGTTACTGGGAGTATTATTGATGTGAAGCTCTGTTATACAGTCAGACACATTACTGGGAGTATTATTACTGTGGAGCTCTGTTATAGACTCAGATACACTACTGGGAGTATTATTGCTGTGGGGCTTTGTAATTCACGCAGACACATTACTTTGAGTTTTATTGCTGTGGAGCTCTGTTATACACTTCAACACATTACTGTGAGTATTATTGCTGTGGAGCTCTGTTATACACTCAGACACATTACTGTGAATATTATTGCTGTGGGGCTCTGTTTTACACTCAGACACATTACTGGAAGTATTATTGCTGTGGGCCTCTGTAATACACTCAGACACATTACTGGGAGTATTATTGCTGTGGGGCTCTGTAATACACTCAGACACATTATTAGAGTATTATTGCTGTGGGGCTCTGTAATACACTCAGACACATTAATGGGAGTGTTATTGCTGTGGGGCTCTGTTACACACTCAGACACATTACTGGGAGTATTATTGCTGTGGAGCTCTGTTATTCATTCAGACACATTACTGTGAGTATTATTGCTGTGGAGCTCTGTTATATACTTCAACCAGGGCCGGACTGGGAAAAAAATTAGGCCCGGGCATTTTTCAATTAGAGCGGCCCCCCAAGGAGGGGGCGGGGCCAGAGAGGGTGTGTTTTGTCATCACTAATGACAACACGCCCCCTCTCAAAGTGAGCATGTTGGTTCAATGCACAGAGCCCTGCTGAAGAGCTCTGGCATTAGA